TGTGCACTGGCACTGGCTGGTGGTCACACACCCGCCTCCACAAAGGTCCCTGCAGAGACGCCTTCCTCCCAACGGTCCCTGCCTGGCTCAGGTTCACCTGTTTGTTTAATAAGCACAAAGCAAACGACTTTGGACTGCCTGACACGAGCAACAAATATAATGCTAGATTCATTCATTTCAGAATGAACAACCAACCTTTAAGCAGGCTGTACATGTCTAGGCATTCAATTTGTTTAATGTAATGCAATGATAACATTTCCACTGCAATCCTCCCAGGTTCATTTGATAACCCATTTAGCATAATATATTTAGCATGGCTGTTACGGCTTGTACCAGCAGTGTCACTGTTGATAACCTGGCCTGTTACATCTCTGGACAGGCTGTATAACGTATACAGTGTTTGGGGGGAAACAGACCGGCCCACAGAGGAAATTCCCAAACTTCCCTTTGTCCAGTCTGCACCTGTTTTGTAGTTAGTGGAAATCATTTATGTGGATTTGAACAAAGTTGAACACTCAGACTTTGGTCTCTCAAATACAGTAGCAGACAGTAAATGCAACGCATCATATGGTAAAGCAGGGCGGAGGTTGATTTTGTACACAGCCTTAGTCTTGTTTTCCTTTTCACAATTGAAAACGGTCTGATTAGCTGTCGAACAGTTCTGAATAATCAGTTTCTCTCCGGGCATCTGTGGGGAACACGAGTGGCGTGTGAGAACAGATTTTATACCATTAAAGATATATCGCTCTATTAGTGCTGAAGCACTGACATTTTCCTTGATGATGAATCAAATTCTAATCAGCGGTCTGTTCTGCATCTTGTCGCTAGTTATACAAGGTCTCTGTTCTTACAGCACGCTTATCGTGTTTTCACTGGGAACTTGAAATATCAATAAGTATCTTCTTTATATCACAAATGAATATGACAAATACCTGAAATGTCTGAGAATGTGATTGCTTTAAATTCAGTGACTAATGTGTGAAACACAATTTTAGCTCAGGAGGATGAAATTACAGCAGTGTTACCTTGGCTTGGATTTAGTGTGATCTGTTAACCACTGATTGGAAATTTAAAATGTGTCAGAAAATGTGACAAGATGTGGAACATGGTGCTTGAGAGTGTGGAAGATGACACATCCTGGGACATCTTTGCTTTTTGAAAAAGCCCAGTAATTACATTGCTTGCATTTCTAACACTAATCTTAACATCTTTCCTTAATGTTCCGTCAGACCAACTGCCCTTTGGCTTTTGGATACCTGAGCATGAGCGAGACAGTCTGACAATGTGGAGGGGTTTATTAGAGGTTATCACAGACACAAAGGTCGAATAGGCAGCTCAGCCAATTGTTTCAAGATGTCAGGCCTCCAGTTTCTCTGGTAAATCAGTCTGTCGACAGGAAGTAACCTCATCAAAGAGTCTGTGAGAACAAGCTGCAGCCGTCACAACGCTGGAATCCAAACAGCACTGCTTTTTACATAACTCTGAATAATCACATAGAAACTGTGTTATGTTGTGATTATTGCACATCTTGTGTATACACACAGCCTATTTCATTCACCTGTTTCTGTGCTACAGATGTGCAACATCCCCTACCTGAGCACACAGCTGGACCTGCTGCTGACTCTGAGAGAGCTCCCGGTCACCATAAATGAGCTGCAGCCTGTGAGTTTATTCACTCACCTACAGCGTCAAATCAAAGGTCGACTCGAGCTATTTTAAAGTCTGTCCCGGTCCTGCAAGCTGAAAAAACCTTTAAAACCACAGCCTCCATAGTGCACAATGAATCATGCAAATATATTCCTGAATGCAAATGCTAATGTTCAGAAACATTGTGGCTTTTGACTTAAATAAAAAGAACATCTGGGGACAAACTGACTTTAATACATGAAAGCTTTTTCCCATTCAGTCTGAGTTTTATGTTTGAAGTGGTGGATGAAGTAGTTTTTGTTCTATTTGCTGGATGGTTAAAAGTGCTAAAATCAGTAAGGCATGCAAGGCACTTTAAGACACCTCTCTTCATTCGACAGAGAGGAAAAGATGGATCTTAATCAAATCAAGGTCCATTTTTCTGCAGTTGGTGTGAAGCATGCATAGCTGTCTTTATCAGAAACCCAATGAAACCCACTTTGGGGTTTTCACAAGGGAGAGATGGGGAAATATTCAGAAATTTAACTTCATTCTGCAAAGTTCTGAACTGTCGCCGAAGACAGAAACTCTTAAATTAACAAGGTAAAGTGAAATAAAACTAATAAAAAAGTTACAATTTAAACATACGTTATTACCTGTTATTTTCTTAGTTTGTTCTAGTATTTTCCGAGCACTTACACACTCAGCCAAATGTTTAAGGCCAGTATGTCGACACACCAGGTTCACCATAAGTCGTAGTCATCGTTAACACTCTTGTAAAGGATTGCTGTTTATTGGCACTGGAGACTGCAGGGTGTGAAGATATTGCAGTCAGACAAGAACGCCCCCCAGCTCCTCAGTCTTTAAAAAAAATGTTTTTAATGTGATTCTCTCAAGCTTATGTTTCGTTCAGCATCAGTGCTTCAGTCCTAATCTCTTATCTGCTGACACTGAGAATGAAGAGAAACAATGGATAAGAATGATGGTACTGTAATCCATTGACTGTGACAGTCATTTTTCTCTGTCTCAAACACAGGGACAAACATATTGTGTACTGGCAAGATGACTCAACAAGAAAGATTAGCAGTTTCTTAAAGTTTCAATTCACTCTGATTTTGTTTCTCTTTCCGTTGCTTTAGATTTATTCAAAGAACATATTTTGTGACTGTACTCGGTGACAAAATGTAGACCTCTCTCAAATTCACAGCCCACATTGTAACGTGCCACTGCCTCACAATACGACACGCTTGACCATGGAGTGATTAGGGTCGCCTCTGTTGCAGAATACTTCAAATCCTTCAATCCTCGGACATGACAGATTTGATAAAGCTCCAACATTAAGGAGGATTTAGTTGCCACCTGACAGACAGGGCTCCAGGTGAGAAAATAGGGAAGTCACCACCAGGGGGATGTTTTTCACCTGCAATGTGGCTGTTGGTGCTACGTTTTATTGCCAGGATGATAGGTTTCAGTCTGCATTGTGGACCTGGCTCCTTCTTTAAACTGTTTGCTATGCTCCTTCCGCAGTTATTTCCAAATATAAATAGAGTTACAGACACAGAACCAAAGCCAGTGATGCAGTAGACAAGGAGACGTCTCATGAAGCTATGAGACAGTGGAAGCATCTTCAGTGGTTTCATTAATGGAATCTTCTTTTCCCAGTTGAAGTCATATTGTTAGGGCATCTTTAGCATTTGTTGGGTTTTAGCAAACAAACTACTGATAAAAGCTAAAATCCCACCATCCACATTCAGCATGATCTATTCAGAGCTGGTTCGGGAGACACTGGGCAATATTCTAGAAGTGTATTTACACTTGACACAGTTTCATACTAAATAGTCCTGCCAAACAACAAGGCCCTGGTTATTAATTTTATAAGGTCAAATGAGGTGTTGTGAGATGGTTTATCTTTACAATGAAGAATAGGAGTTATTTTTGTCAGCAGAAAGCTTGAAAACAAGTTTCAGCCTTATTCCACATTTCACAAAATTGTTGTGTGTAGAAAAGCATGCCAGAGCCTGTATGGGGTTGAATTACAGAACAAAATCATTTTGCTCTGTGCTCCTGTGTTTGTCTTCCAGCTGATTAACCAGAAGATCAGAATGTGCACACAGCTGTACAACTGCAGGTCATTTGTTTCCGTGCTGGAGTACCTCCTCGCCATTGGCAATTACCTCAACGAGAACGCCGGAAAGGAAAAGGCCAAGGGATTCCGCCTCTCCTCCTTAACTAAAGTATGACTCCACCACTGTTGCCTGACCTTTGATGGAGTTGCAGCACTAGGCTAATAAGACTACTCATTGATATACACGGCAGGGCTTCTGTGCACTTTCTTTCAATTTTCTCTCATCTGCTTCCTGGGGTGGTTGTTCGGGTTCACTCAGATCTTTGACACAGTCTTTCTGACAGGTGTGTGATTGTATCACTGCCTCACTTCACAGGAGAAATGAAACTTTGTGGCCCCAAGTGGCAGAAAGTCTTAGAAGTGAACCATCATTAACTGTAGTCAGTAAATATATGACTAAAGCCAGAACTTAGTTAGCTTAGCATAAGGCACAGAAACCGGAGAAACACCAAGCTTGGCTCTGTCTATAGGTATCAAAATCTGCCTACCAGTGCATATAGAGCTCACTAATTAAAAAGTTAAATCTTGCTTGATTAAATGGCGCACAAATCAGTGTAAAGACAGTGACTTCCGGAAACCTCTGCTGGATATCTGTCTATAACCCAGGAAGTCACCAGCCATGAAATGCTCTGACACATTATCCCCATAAAACAACAAAGTCTTATTTTTACATCTCAGGATTTGTGTGTAGTAAACAAGCAAGATATAATGTGTTCATAACTGAGCATTAGAATCAGTCTAGCCGTTCCCCCCTGTTTTTAGTCTTTGCTAAGCTAAGCTAACTCCCTGTTAACTGTAAGGTGTACTTTTACTGAACAGCTCTGATAGTGGAAATGGGCAGTGGTCAGTCTTCTCATTTAACTCTTGGAAAGAAAGCAAACAAGTGTGTTTCCCAAAAGGACTCCTTTAAAGTTCAGTGGTAGATGGATGCATAGTTTTTCCTGTCATCTGGGGTATGGAAGTGTAATTTCTTACTTTCTCTGCATTTAGTTTGAACTGCTCTTTTGTGTGCAAGTCCCTCTACTGGGAAGGTTTAAGGGGTAGTGCTCTTGACACACAGGTAGAACGTCCTCTGCTCCATTTAATGAAGCCAAGGCCTGGTGTTCTCTCAGAGGTGTTTCCAGGTCTAATTGAGAAGAGTAAACCGCTGCTGCTTGAGACAGACTCTCATCAAATTAATGGATGACTGCCTCCAACCCCCCCCTAAAAAACCCAAAACACTGAGGTTATCTCAGATCTTTTTGGACTCTTTCTTACTTGTGAGCATCAGTACTTGGTGCATGTCCTCTTTGTGTAGTCCTCAGAGGCTGGCCTGGACCTTAAATTGGTAAACAACATAACCTAGAATAAGAGTATGCATGCCTGTCACGGGATTAGAGAGGTTTTGCATTTCAATTAAGTGACACCATCAAATGCAACATGGCTTGAATTTTAGAGTCATCATTAGCATTTTATACAAAGATACTATAATATGAATGCAGCCACAATTGTTACTGCTGCCACTCCTCCTCTGTCTACTACTGTGGGTAATTTACAAACTGATTTACATTTAGGAGTTTTGGTTGTATTAGCACTCCCTCAACAAGGCATTAGCAAAGACATTTTAAATAGAAAATCTAAGGAACTGTAAACCTTTGTTGATGATGTAAATACACAATACAATGGATGTTAGCCTGCCTACATTTTTGCAGCAGCACATGCACGTCTTCTTTCCTGCATGTTATAAGTACCCCAGCTGTGTGGCAGGGGACTGAAGTTTTGCACAATCCATGCCCTTTACTGTGTTTTATCTATCCCCAGCTCTCGCATCCTGTGTGGCAGGGGACTGAAGTTTTGTACAATCCACGCCCTTTATTGTGTTTTATCTATCCCCAGCTCTCGCAGCTCCGAGGGAGAGACAAGAAGGTCACCTTGCTCCATGCCCTTGTGGAGCAGATCATGTTGCATGAACTGTGCTTGGCCACTTTCATGCAAGACTTGGCAGAATTTGAAACTGTCCCTGGAGGTATTTGCTAATCAAGATTTGATCAAAGCTGAAAAAAAAAACCTTTATGGTGCTTTTCAGCTGAAGTCTGTTAAGTGAAACGTGTGTGCCACTGTTTTTTCTTTCCTTTGGATAGCTTCCATCAAAGGCCTGACTGCAGAAGTAGACGGTGAGTAGATCACATTTTACTACTGTATCCAAAGACTGTTGCTTGTAAATTTGCTGAGATTGCTGTAATACTGACCTCCCTGTTTATGTGCCAATGCAAGCTACTTGTGAAGAAGTGTAACATGTACTAGATCTTTCTGTGATGATAGTATACTCCCTTGAATCACCATGATTTCATTGTCTAGGGACTAGATGGGCTCAAGCCAATATATTGTCTATATAATGACTTACAAACAGTTGCCACAAGCACAAATACAGCACTTCACAGTATCACACAGGAGACAGCATCTGATTTAAAGCAGCTATTTGCTTCACTGGTCAAATATGATGGATGGTAACCAAGGTGTGTGTTGCTTCAGTCCTGAAGAACGAACTGCAGAAAGTCATTCAGTATAAAAAAAGCTATAAGAAGAGAAATGCTGGAGCTCATCACCCCAAATTCTCCAAAGACCTGAAGGTGAGGAAGCAAGCCCTTTGTTTATTATTTATGTACACATTAATTTAATGGCCTAATGTGCCTTTTATTAAAAAGCACTATTTTTTACATTCAGTGTTTCTCACCTAAATGTAATAAATGTTTACAGCCTGTTTTACTTACACCCTTCACTTCTTTATCTTCTTTTGCTCTGCTTTTTCTCGCACATCCTGCCTTTTATCACAGTCAGTTTGAGCAGTGATTGATTGACTGAATGAATGGAAGAACAAACTCACCAGGACATTCCTGTGCTTGTCTCTTATACCCCAGATGGCCATTGAAAAATACAGCATGGATCTCTCGACGCTGACAAAGACCTGTGAGGAGATGAAGAAACTCTACTCTGTCATACTGGTAATCCTTGAGTTATTATTTCAATATCTCATTTGTAAAGCTTCAGAGATGGATGGTCTGCTGTTCCACTAGTGGCCCTCTTCAATTATTTGTCATCTTATCTCTCCACCCTGCATTGGGAATGTACATATTTCAGAGGAAGAACTCTCCAAGGTGACTTCTTTTGCACCAGGAGTCTGGAGGGCTTACATGGAGAAACAGTGTGTCTGATATACAGTGTGCAGCTGTGGCCTCCACATTATTCAACTGCAAGTAGCACTGATTTGCAGCTCTGAAATTCAGCATGTGATAGTTACTCATTTGGATCATTTCTTCAGGATTGATAAACAGTTCCCACTGTCCCCTGTGGCCAAAAGGTGTGAGACAAGTTCATCCTGAGTGATACATAGGATTCTTGTTTTCATTTAGTGATGTCTCATTTTAAATACATCAGCAACATGTTACAATTCATTCAGGAATACTTTCACTATTTATGGTTAAAGACCAGAAATGATGGTAATCTGTAATGAGTTCTGTTGAGAACAACAGACATCGGATTTCTCATAAAGAAGACTCCTCTGTCAGACATATCATTAGATTTAGTGGAGGCACCGGTTGCTGAGTATGTTTTTACCACACTGTCTATATATGGGAACTCACTAACATGGGTAGATTAGGTCTAAAGAGCTTGAGCCTACTTTTGACATCTTAACAGGTGCTATGTCTTTTTTAGAGTCTATACCAAAAACAATCAATACAAAAGTAGTTCCTATTCTCACCTTTCTCATATGTCTACAGACAATCAATCATCACAGAGAGTCCACCTTCCCTTCCTGTGCTGTGTTTGAGTGCTGCAAAATAATAGCATGAGCGTTGAGCTTTAGGCCTGGTAGGGAATTGTGTTATACTAGGCCCACAATTAGATTCATGTGCACTGCAAACTTTTTTCCAATCTTGCAAAGGGGGGAGGGCACTGAACGCAGGCAGTGTGCTAGAAAGTGAGGGTACAAAACAACAGAGATACAGTATCCTTCAAGTACTCTAATCATTTAGAGCCCTGTTTCCACAACCATCATTTTGTCAGGCCCTCACAATCCTTCTTTCTTCAATCAGTTAGCCTAAAGTCACTGTCAGAAATAGGCCTACACCAACCCCCTGTAAAACCACAACTTGCCAAGTTTACACATCAGTTTTAGCACAGATTAGACAAACTGTTTCATATCAGTCTTCAGAGGTGCTGCTAGGTGGATTTTGTTACCTGCAGACAGGCTAGCTGTTTCCCTGTGATTCCAGTTTTTAAGCTAAGCTACTTCTGAGCTAAAGCCCCTTTGTCACTGCCCAAAAAAACCATAAATTTGCCACGCCTCGGCTTTTGAAGGCAGTGGGAATGCAACTACTGGTACAAATGATCAGGGACACTCTGAACAATGAAGGGACAATGGAGGCTTGCCTCTCCCATTGATAATTTCAGAGATTTTTTTGCCGTCTCAGCCATAACTTAATCCATCTTTGTTTAATTAAGGCTCTAAAACGATTCAGTCTACACCCAGTGTCTTTACTTTGGAAGATGAACAAAGGTAAATAAGAACAAATAACGCTGACCTTCTCACTAGCTTCCACGCTGTTGGTTTACAGCTCTGTTTACCAGCGCAGGTATTTGATAACACCAAGGTGATGACATCAAATATGACGTACCAGAGTGGAAACACGCTCGTCTGCTGGAGAGCCAAGTCGGATTGGTTGGCAGTGGGAATGACGTCAGAGGCCAGTTAAAGGCTTTAGCCGGGTTTAAAACCCCCCCATGTAAAGTGATATAATTTACCTGGCTACTGGCTGTAGCGTCATATGTGAAGTTATGGGATGCCTATCCCTCCATGGGCTCTTCTCATTGGGAACAATGGGCTTGGTCAAGTAAAGGCACCAGTGAGCTACAAAATATCCCGTAGCAAGTGTGCGTCACTCGAGCAAGAACCCTCCAAACATTCCGAAACCCCAGTCAGATAAAACTGTCTCTCCATGATGTTCCTGAAGTCCTCACCTGTAGCTTTCTATTTACTGTACTTTACAGATAAGAGAGTGTATCAATCTTCTTATTTGTCTCTCAGCAAGAAAGCAAAAAAGGCTCTTTCCAGCGGTGCCAAACTATGACTTTTAAGTAAAACCTCCTCACAAAATAAATCACTATTATATGATTCATATATCATATTATTCCCTATTCGTAATACAAATCACCCCTCCTAGTATTATTAAAAATGGTCTGGTGGTGTGGTGGCTGTGACCTTTTAAAGTTTAACAAGTTGACCTTTAGCTGTAGTGTCCCCTTCAGGCCAGGAGCTACGTATTAATCACCAGGCAGTGGTGCCAAAAGGTACCATCCATTGACTTTGTGGAATCTTGAGATATTGGATATATTTTTCAAGTGATTCTCTTACATGTGAAATGTTACACTTTCCATTGTCGCGTCCCTGCCATACCATGCTATGTCTTTTTAAAATAACAGAGCACAATGACATCATCCCTCCAGGTTTAGTCAAATTCAGACCAGTGGCATTTAAGGATGGACACAATCCAAGCTAGAGTCTCTCTCCCCACCTGTGTCCCTGCCCGCCTCCTCTGATTTCACTGTGTGGGGGCCTTGCTGGAATATTGTTTGTGTGAAACCTCCTGAATAATAAACCCCTTGAGGAGCATTGGAGAAGAGGATTAAGACTGACTGGGCTGTGGTGTTACGCAAGGGAGCAGCAGGTTGGGGAGAAGGCATCATATCTAGTCACATCTTGTTACAGAGGAGGAGAATTCAGATGATGCCATTGAATAGCAAACATGCAAATTTATTAAATGTAGAAGTTGCTTATGGAGGGTTATTTTCTGAAGTTATTACTCCAAAGACATGATTCAAAACAAAGTATTAAGTAGAAGGAGATATTTTATGTGAGATGTTTTAACACGTCTAATTTCTCGTCATTACAGGCCTGACATGCCTTGTCATAACATCAGCGCTAAAAGCTGGCAGCTATGTCACGGCATAACACAAAAGAATGAAATCAATTCCTCCGCAGTGACTGCAGATAAGATGCTTTAATTCTACTGTAGCTTCTTCAATCTAATGGCGGAAACCTGCAGATTAAAGATGATACAAGATGCTTCTGTTGGGTGTTATGAACATGTCTTGTAACGTTATCTGTATCTCTAATGGTAACAGCAGATATTTTCACTTTCATAACATTTTATTGTAACACCCCCTGCTCAATAAGCACTATATCAATGGTCTTATCATTTTAATCATCATGTTGTTAAAGTGGAGTCACACTGATTTATATAACAGGCGCTCTCTTTTTATCAAGTTTTTATAGAGTGTGGTTGTACATTTGATATTTTGTGCAAGGCATGTTTGTAAAAATGCATGCCAAAGATTAACATGCACAGAAAGCAACACAGCCAATTAGGAAGCTGTGCAGCGATTACATCACTCAAGCAGAACCCAAATTAGTATATTACATTAGGTACTGTTTGCAGACTGCAAAATGCTGGAAGAAAAGTTTGCAAATAGACTAATTTGCACAACTGATGCAAGAGCATAATGTATTTTAGAGAGAGCAGGTGTTAATAATCAGCTGACATCTCTCTCTCACTAGCAGGAGCACCTGTGTAAACCCTTCAGAAATGTCAGAAGACACACTGATACAAACACAAGTCACTGTCTGCAATTATATTTAAAGCTTTTGAAGGAGCTGAGGGACATCACAGCCAGTATAGGAGCCACTGTGCCAGTGTAATTACAACCCCAAGTCAGAAAAGTTGGGACAGTGTGTAAAACCAAAATTAAGACTGACAATAGTGACGTGTAAATCATCTGTGCCCTGTCTTACAACTAAAAACTGTTATTTTTATTTTATTATTTCAATGTTTTTTTTGCATCCAGCAACCCTTATTGTGCCCAAATATGGCCATGAATAGTTCATTTTAATATTTAAAGGGATAGTCTGACATTTTAGGAAACATGCTCATTTACTTTCTTGCTGCACGTTTCAGTAGATGAGTAGATTGATGCTGCTCTCAAGTCATTCTTTAACCAGATAAAGTCACACATTCAGATTGACTCACTACTGTATAATTACAACGTCTGTACAGTAAGTAGTAAAGCAGTAACATGTTACTGACTCGTGTATAAGATTACACTGTACAAAACAACAATAATATTACAGTTACTAATTCACGTACTACTGACTCGTGTATAGGATTACGCTGTACAAAACAATAATAATATTACAGTTACTAATTCACGTAACACTTAATTGTGTTGCCTGAACACAAGATGACACTTGTCCTATGTGGGCTACAGTATCTTTGCTGTGTTCACATGATTCAGGTGAACCACCAGCCAAAAAGCTAAAGAAAAGATGGAGGGTGAGTGCGAGTGGCAGGAGTTCACCGGCTGGAAGTCAGTTTTGATTCATCTCAGTCAAATATGCAAAAACCATTACTGTCTGTTCCAAACTGTGTGGGAAACAAAATGCTTTCAGCCACAGGACATACCACACCTAACTTATTAAACCATGTGGTAGAGCAGCACAGCAATGTGAAACTTGTCAACAAACAAGTAAATAAAAAATATAACACCAGCTCCGACATAGAGGCCTGCATTTCACAGCAGGACACGTCGATGGCCAGACGTTAAGTGGAAAATAATTTGGGGAAGATTGTTGCTGGATATGCAACAACCTATTTCCACTGTTGAATAGAAAGGTTTGTGCGATGTTGGCATTACAGGTGTCTGACAGCTCAGCAGTGAAAGTAAATGCTTTACTTTTGCTGCTCAGTAATTAGTAATTACTTTTTCAGTGAGTAATATGTAATTGATTAGACCTTTCAGGTAACTTGCCCAACACTGCTAACCTGTGCCTCTGAATCTCACTAATGAGCCTATTTTATTTGCGTAATCCATATAAAAAAGTGTCAAAATAATAAGTTGTGTTGTTATGGGGGATTATTAGTGGAGCTATTTTGTGGCCAGGAAAGTGATTTCTGGGAGTTGCCATATCATCAGTGTGACGTTGCCGTAACCTCTTCATTAGTGCCGGCTTTTCATCCGTCTTCACTGTTTCCCAGTTTCCCGTGTTTCTGCTGGCTCCAGCGTCAGCTTTAGCAAACTGACAGGAGACAGGAGGTATGACTCTTATCATTTAAGTCTCAGCAAGAAGGCGAATAAACGCACTTCCTGATGTGTCATAGTACTCCTTTAAGGCTGTTATAGTATTACTTTTTGTGTGCGCTATGCAGTGCATGTTCATCAGTGATCATCAATCTGGAAACATAACAACTAATTGCATATTTTAAATTCATGTAACATAAAGAATCTGAGCAGTGAGTCACAGCAACAGCTTGAGTCTGAACTTCAACCTGCATGCAACAAGCCAGTTAGTGCACTTAGCCACTGTGACCCTTTCTGATGAAGTTTGACTTGAGAATTACTACAGTAACATTTTCATGCCAGTCACCCCTAGCCACTTAGGGGTGAGTATTATCGCAGCAGTACATGTCTACCTCATAATGCACTCAAGCAATGGACTGCATGCTGAAGCAGTATATGAGCCAATTATATTTAAAGACCATTGTTAAGAAGAATGTGCACGAGCCAGGCACCAATTCACTGATTAAAATGAATGCAGTTGTTAATTGTAAACTATTTTCTTATAAGCTCTAAGGTCTCCTTAAGTGTAACTGTGGTCAGATTAAGGGTTTTAACTCCACTCCTTTGTTCCCCTTTTGTCTATTGTCCAGGTTAAATTTGGAGAACCAGCAGATCAGGACTCTCAGGAGTTCTTCAGGTTGATCTGTCAGTTCGTCCAGGACTTCAAGAGAGTGCAGGCTGAATTTATATGAGTTCTACTGCGTGAAGAACATGTTGGTGACCACTGAGACTGCAGTGATGTTTACTGAATAGACCAAAAACACCAATCATTTAAATCTGGGATATAACCTGTGATGCACTATTTGGGATTAAAGATTACTAGTAGAGTACGTTGTTGCCTGGACTGATGTTTTTAGAGGTTTTTCTGTATTTTCCTCATGTTTGTCTGTACATATTTTATTTTACAGTGGGCACTGGATGTGATTCATTGTACAGATATAGAGTATGAAGGACAACAGGATGACCGTGTGTGTAATATGAAATTCATTTTATGGATATAAACATCAGAGGTTTGCTTCTGTGTGTGTTGAGAGTAATGAATGACTTGGTTGTAAGAGACACCCAGATGTGTAAGTGTGCTGCTGATGCCCACGGCTCTCTGCTGGCAGAGGAAGCGACCAGGTGACACTTCAGAGGCTGGCTGAGGTGGGTGTATTTTGGGAGTGTGATTGTTCAGAATGTGCAAACTTGCTGCGGTGGGTTACATTTCCTCTCCTCTCCCAGCGTTGGAGGACTAGCTCCAAGGCAGCCTCGGTTTCCGGACCACATCTGCACTGCGCCTGTGACACGATGACAAACACAAAATGTCCCTTTAATGGGCAGAAGGGTGTTCTCTGTACCGGTCAGAAGGGATTTATGTTAGACAGCTTTTGTGTGTCTGACATTTTAATCAGTCATCAGTAAAGACACTATATGTACCAGACTCCTCACTGAGCAGGAAAAGTTGTATTTTCTT